GCCAGTCAGTACGAATCGCTAGATGAAGCTATTGATTTAAAAAGCAAGATATCGATTGTGTCTTACCAACGAAGCGCCGATCCGACTCTGGATCCCCCAGCAGGTCCGTGGTGTAGTTGTAAGGAGTGGGTGAAGAGCTGCATTTGTAGTCATGTGCTCTGCCTCGCCTTCACACTCGGTTTCGAAAGCAGTGCCGAAGCTGTTCGTGATTGGTCCATAACAATTGCTCGATTTGGTAAGCCATCCCAAAGGAGAGACAAACGTGGGCAGATCATGGAGCCAACCATACCTGAGAATGTGAGATACGGCTTAAACAATCGACCGGCGCGCAAATCCAAGCGAGCAAAAAAAGCCACAGGATTACAAGACGGTAATGGTGCGGCAAACTTAGGAGAGGAGAGCGGAGCGACAGAAGCACAAGAGGGCGAGGCGACAGAAGCACAAGAGGGCGAGGCGACAGAAGCACAAGAGGGCGAGGCGACAGAAGCACAAGAGGGCGAGGCGACAGAAGCACAAGAGGGCGAGGCGACAGAAGCACAAGAGGGCGAGGCGACAGAAGCACAAGAGGAGATCGGTTCAGCCTTAGCAGGGGCGCAGGCAGGCCAAAGCTCTGAGATAGCAAGTGCACGACCGTACTCGGAAATTGCCTGGCCAGAGTTGTTACCAACCGATGACACAGGACCCTTCTGTGGGTGCGGCCGTGGTAACAACCCGTCAACTGGAATGATAAGGTGCAGTCGTAGAACCTGTCCACACAACAAGTGGTGGCATATCGACTGCGCCACACTCTACTCTGCGGTAACGGGTTCGATTTCCGGTCACGACGAAGCTTTGAATAATTCCAAGCGCTGGTATTGTTTCACATGTAGGGGGAAGTCATGGAAGACTGCTAAGCCAAATCCTCGCCCCCAATAAGAAGCCTCGATATTCCTATACGTGTCGAAGCCTATACGTGTCGAAGCTTATACGTGTCGAAGCTTATACGTGTCGAGAGCGTGTGAAACTTTCACACATCCCATCGATGTATTGCATGACGTGTGTTGCAAAGATAGGGTTTTCGTATTTAGTATTTAATCTAAGCACTGCGCTATCGACCACAACATCAAAAAAATAGAATACACGTGTAATTCTTCTTCTGTAAACGGCAGGGACGATAGAAAGTCGTAGGTTCGATTCCTGGCACCAGCTTTTTTCGGTTTTTTCGCTCCGTGCAGACCAAACAAGGTGTCATCTACAGGTCGTCTATGACTAATTGGGGATCACGGTAGTAGTAGCGGGCCGGAGGCCCGCGATTCCCCTTCAAATATAAATTTTTTTCCGGTTGCTACCGTCTGGCCCACTTTTTGCTACCGTCTGGCCCCCCGGCCGAAGAAGCGCTCGCCTGTTTTCTCCATTTTCGAGCGATGACGACAATTTCCGCGGTGTGGGTCGCAGAATAAGAATAGTTGCCGTTTGGGTTGGTAGACTGGATTACTTAATAAACCACAAGTCGTAAGCTGAAGTCAATTGGGTGAATAAAATTCTTTCCCGAAAACGTTTTTGGGTACAGAAGTAGTTTACTGAAAATCACT